TGGGAAGAATGGAGGAGAGATAAGATTTTGTAAAGAATGGAGGAGAGATAAGATTTTGGAGAGAATGAAGGAGAGATAAGATTTTGGAAAGAAAACAGGAGGGATAAGGCTTTGGAGAGAAAAAAATGTTAACAATTTACATGAATTCATGATGATTTTCGAGACAGTTTAGTGAGAACGAAATGTTCAAGACTCCGGTGCAGTTCCTAGCTTGATATTTTCTGTGAACTTATGTGAATATTTTCTCGATGGGATTTTGTGGCTGTACAATTAACGTCATCAATGAACTTATCAGGCCTCGCGAAAGCTTACCGCAGAGACACATCAAAGATCTATGGTATAGTTGCGCGACAAACCCCTAGTTACCCCGACAAAGCCTTAGCTACCAAGAAAGCACTAGCCACACCGACAAATCTTTAGTTGCCCGACCAAACCTTAGTTACCCCACCGAATAAACCCTAAATTACCCGACAAAACCACTAGTTTCGTCGACGAACCATTCATTACCCACAACGATCCACTATTTTCCCAGATAATATAAATGAAAGCACTGCTTTCAAGCTTAGTAAATGAATGAAATAGCAAAACGAGGTATGTGGAAGGTATCTTATCTTATTTCAAGCTTCCACATACCTCGTTTTGCTATTTCATTTATTGTCCCCCCGACGGGATGACTTGGCGGTCACCCCCGGGTGAAGCTAGGAAATTAAAGTCCACGTCAAGCAAGTGCGCGTCTGCAGACAATTTTTACCTGCTTAGGTCCGGTAAGGTCATGGTTGAAAGAAAATTTCATCAAATTTTAGTGTAGTCTCAATTAGTGATATTACTTTAATTTTTTTTCAAATAAATTTAACCAAATTTTAAAAAAGAGAATTCTTGGAAAGCTTTCATATTCCATTAGTGAAAGTATGGATATTTACACGATTTTTTTTTCTTCAAAATACCGGTACACATTAAAATTCTCTTAAAGGGTAACATTGGTAACATAGTGTGCCCGTTTCCATTGATCTCAGATGTCACGACCGAAAGGTGAGGAAGCAAACGCTAATGATGGAGGAGCAGTTGAATGACGAGGCCGCTGAAGCTGACGAGAAGGCATCGACCTCCACGGCCACAAGAAAGACGAAGTCTCGGTCGTTGCAGAGCAGCCCTAAAAGTTCGCACTCGAGGACGAACGTCGGTGCCACCAGTCGAACTACTGGCGGGACATCTACCGCCTATACACTCAGAGTATTTTAATCATTTGGAAAAGGAGAAAGCAAAAAAAAAAAACGGGACAAAGTTACAGAGATTATTTTTAAAAAAATATATAATGAGATTAACCTACTTGCCGCAATGAAAAGTCTTTTGGCAGAGAAGTTCACTCACATCAATTTATCAACGATCATTCCTTCAAAAAAAGTTGTTGTTTTTTTTTGTTTTTTTTTTTAAACGTGATTTTCGGAGGATTTCCGTCTTTTCCCGTCTGCCATTTCATGGTCTCAATGTGTCTAGCTTATCAGGGGCACCTTGTAAACCTCTGTCATCAAGTCTTCTGATATCTCCTTATTTCTTCTTATTTTTCTCACTGATCAATTGCATGAAACCCAGCGTATAGTACGGCAAAGCGCGTTTTAGCGTGCTCCAATTCTCTTCACGGCACAACGGAAAAAAAAGGGGGGGGGGATCTAAAGGAATAAATAAAATGGAAATTAAAATTCAGTCATCCTGTCAGCAGCGTAGAGACAGTAAAGTGGGAGTGGGGAGTAGGAATGAGAGATGTGAGGGCAGTAAACTAATTTAGGTGCATACATGAGGGGGGGGGGTGGGCTAGGACAAAAAAGTTTGAGAAACACTAGTATGAACAACTTTTTGTTCCTGATATAAATTTGATCGTTTTACCCCCAATCTCTTATCTTCATGTATTTTGTCATTTGAAAATCCCAGATTTTATTCTCATACGCTGGTGATTTACAAAAGAATTCTGATTAGAATTGAAAACAAAAAAATTTAAAAACACCCTTAAATGAATCTGGACAGTGGAGCAGCTTTGATTTCAGGTTTCCATTGACAGATAATGATTCACTAATCCCTCAGAGTTTTTTTGAAAACTTATCTAAATTTTCCTCCATTATAATCAGTTGTTAAACTCACAGTGCTTTTTAAAAAAAAAACTTGAACTGTATTGTCCATTAAATGACAAGCCAATGTCTTGAGATGAATTCCCCAATCCTTATCTCTGGCGATTTCATCCACCCTGTTCATTTTTAAATCAATTTGTATACGAATATTTTGTTTCTTTTAATACAATATTTTTGTTGTGTTTTTAATATAATTTTTCTAACTTATTCTCATTTCATTTACCACAAAAAATAGAAATTAATTTTTTTTTAAATAATATAAAATGTGTTATTAATAATAAATAGCATACAACTTTTTTTTTTTAAATGTGTTTGAGTTTCTTTCTCTCTGAAGAGATTATTGGACTCTCTTCAACTATAAAGTAAAGACACCAATTTCTTGTCCATATAGCGATCTTCTTAAGTAACCAAAGTAACCTTTAATGGTATTAACTAAGAACGCGTAACAGGTAAATTATCTTTACAGGTTTGTCAAAATAGTCTATGACATAGACAAGAACGTGTGTGCTTCAAGTAAAAACTGCTAGCATTTCTGAAGATGATACACTTTAAGGATTCACTTTTCTTTTCTCCGATTCACTAGCAGTTTATCAACTTGACAGTGAGTTAAAGATGTGTCACACGAACTCTCGCAAATAGGACTGACATCGGAGAATGGTGTTATGCCGCACAAATCGGCCCGTGTTAAAATCGCTATTCGATGATGGAATGTGGAATGTGAAAGTTGGATTGTGGAAGGTGGAGTTGGAAAGGTGGAATGTGGAAGATTACTAGTGGACTGTGGAAGGTGGAATGCGGAGGGTGGAATGTGACAGATTGATAATAGAATGTGGAGGACTGGAGGTGGACGATGGAAGTTAATAGACTGAGGGTGGAAAGTGGATGGTGAGTTTCGGTTGGGTTATTCGTATTTCTTCAAGCAAATAAACAGACCACATATTTCTAAATGAGTTTATAAAGATAGCATTGATGGACAGGTAGTTTCCCTTCTAAAAACCTCTCAAAGAGCATAGATAATGTTTTGACAATGGACAAGGTAGCTATCACTATAAGTGTATTTTCTACAATCCCTTATTAATAATCAACCTATTAAAAAAAAAAAAAGAAGATGAATTGCTGAATCAGTCGGTTAGGTCTCCAGGCTCTTATCAGGGCCTCGATTAAACTTTGTATTTTGTGCACGCGGGTTAACAGATTAAATAAGCACACAATTTCGTCTAACTACTGACAGCAGGCTATCTGAGAAGCACTATTATAATAATGGTAAGTTTTACTTAAATAAAGATAAGAGTTTACACATTTAAAAGTCCCAACTCAAAGAGTAAACAATTGCACCGTTATAGTTATAGACTGATAATTCTTATCGTTTGGCGTAAACCTTGTCAAATTTATACATGTAAATATAATATATATATTCGAAAAAAGTAAGACGTTATCTTATAACGCAATTACAATGTAACAAGAAAAAACAACAACAAAAAAAAAAAACAACAACAGATCTTCAACAGTCCTTATTCGGCGTCATCACTATTGAGGGCTACAATCTAGCAGCATTAGATCCAAACGTCACATAGCTGAGTATCATATCCCTAGATCTCTGTTGGTGAAAAGGTGAACATTGGGATCGCAAAGAAAAAAAAATGCCACCCAAGTTATGTGGAGATTAAATTATGCACATGGAAGTGAACTTTGTGGATCATATACACCACAGTCGCGAGCGAAAGCTCAACAGCTTCTACCGAAGAAGTCCGTGCCACGACACCTAACCCCGTGTTCCGTGCCTACTCGACCAAGTGTAATACTACCTAAATAACTAACGATAGATTTAAAAATGAACAAACAAAAAAATAATAATAATCTGTTAAATTAAAAAGAGAGCTGTTAAAATTAGACAAAAAATAAAAATACAAAAAATAAAATAGTAAAAGCCAATTTTAATTTATTCATTTTCTCGAACCCTTTGAAATGTCACCACACAACACCATCTTTAAACTTATCTATTTTTTTCGGAACCCCCGGAGGTGTTGGCATGCGAAAATCGGGAGTCCCCCTTCGTAACATATGTAACAGGAGTAAACGGTGGGGAGATAATATTTTGTAGCTACGCTCTTCAAATGTGCACTTTGATTATCAATCCAATCATCAACTTTTAAATTTAAAACAAAAAAAATCGACGATGGTGTAGACTTAGCAGGACGAAATCCGCAAGGATGGGGATTATTCTCCTTGGATAATAAGCTGGTTCCATCCACAGCAAATCACCCCTCTCCACGCAAATGGATAACCAAAGGGAAAATCATGTGGATGATACGGCTTGGCACCAGTAACGTCGTGAAGTTGAGATTGCTTTAGTTTAGACCATTCGGCCACCCAGCAGCCGAAGTGAGATTGCTTTAGTTTAGACCATTCGGCCACCCAGCAGCCGAAGTGAGATTGCTTTAGTTTAGACCATTCGGCCACCCAGCAGCTGAAGTGAGATTGCTTTAGTTTAGACCATTCGGCCACCCAGCAGCTGAAGTGAGATTGCTTGAGTTTAGACCATTCGGCCACCCAGCAGCTGAAGTGAGATTGCTTGAGTTTACACCATTCGACCACCCAGCAGCCGAAGTGAGATTGCTTTAGTTTAGACCATTCGGCCACCCAGCAGCCGAAGTGAGATTGCTTGAGTTTACACCATTCGACCACCCAGCAGCCGAAGCAGCAACTGGTAGATTATTAATAGGGATGTGAAGAGACACACTAAGTTCCAATTAAAAGTCAATGCAAGCCTTAGACAACAAACAAACAAAAAAAAAACCAAAAAAGCTTAAATTAATAGATTCAAATTTAAAAAAACAACAACTCATGTTACAAATACAGGTTTCTGATTGTGCGGAGAACATTTCTAGCTGAGTTTGTGCCTAGATAAGACAGATTGCAGGCTTTAAGAAGAGTTAACTAATCACAATGACCATGACAGCAGTTGGTTGTTTGTATTTTGGTATTCTAACATTTCTGTTCTGCTTTCATCAGGCTCTACGTAAGTAATTTATTCATATTGTAAGTAAATTATTTTTAACGTTAGAAGAAGTGATGTCGAGAAGGACAGAAATGTCGAGATTGAACAGGACATAGAGAGAGAAAGAGAAAGGTAGAAGGAGAGAGAGAGACTGGATCGAAAGAAAGAAAGAGAGCGAGGAAGAGAGAAAAAGAGAGAGCGAGAAAGAGGAAATGAGATAGAGGAAGGGGAAAAAAGAGAGAGAAAAAGAGAGACTGGATAGATAGAGAAATGGAATTAGATATAGAGAGAAAGAGAGGAGGTGAGATAAAAGGAAAGAGAGAGAGAGAGAGAGAGATAGAAAAGAGATGGTGATAAGGTGAAAAAGAGAGAGCGACAGAAAGAGAGAGAGGAGAGAAAATTGGAGAGAAAGAGAGAGACTTGTTAGAAGTACAGGTGTAAGATTTAAACTTATCTGGAAATATGAACTAAGAACAGAGATAAGAATATGAAAGTCAAGAGATAACTCTTTCATATAAGAACCGTTTGTGAAACATACATTTTTGAAAATGAATGAACCTAGAAATGGCTTTTCCGATAATGCGTTTCAGATTTTCAGTGGTATTAAAATTTATTATTTAAAAAATAACAATATCCTTTCACGACACCCTCCTCCCCGCTTACAGTTTCAAGTGTTGTATTGAACGTCCAGCCAGCCACCTTCGACCCACTCACCACAGAACACCTCACAGTCAACTGCTCGTACACTCACAGCAACACTTCAAGAGTTCAAGTTTTGATTTCATTATTTCTTTCATGGTCCAATGATTCGACTCAACAATTCCAGGACGTGGCCTCCATCAATGTATTCTCTCATGGTCATCCGGTGAATGTGTTGACCTCCGGAGACGTCATGGCCTCTGGCGAAATCAACATCGAGGGGCAATCCTACATGCAGCTCCGGTGGGTTCTTCCGAATGGGGGTCAAGTGGGCTTTTACAAATGTTCGGCCGAGGGAACCGACAACGTGGGTCACAATGTCATAGAGTCTGACGTCATCGAGGTTAAAGGCAAGACGCCTGATATGAACCAGCTGTTATTGGCGATCAGGAACATCACGTTTCGCCAGAAAGCAACGGAAGAGAACTTGGAGGAATTGAAGAGAAATATCTCAAGCCTGGCGAGTCAGTCGTGTAACAGCACGGAAATCCAGTCCGTTATTTCTCCGAGCAACCTAACATGGCTGAGTGCCAACGCATTGACTTATTTGTATTCCAACCAAGAAGTTTACTACCTGTCAAAACAACAATTCCACAACGTTTCGAATTCTCAAGAGTTCTGTGAAAGTATCGGAGGTTACCTGATAGAGATCGATGACGTCACGGAATACATGAGCATACTACCCATGCTTTCACTAATCCGAAACCTTTCGGAAATGGTGTACACCGGTGGAACCGAAGAACACAGTGAAAATCATTGGGTGTTCAGAACAAGTGGACGGTCAATTACGTTTTTCAATTGGCGGTCGGGTCAAGATTTTTCAAACCAGGGCTACAACTGCTTAGCATTGTTTCAGGAATATGACTGGAAAATGGCGGAGACTTTTTGCTCGACACAGTTTTATACGTACTATGCCTTATGCGAGCGTTCGATCTAGAGCGAAATAATTATTAGGAAATTTTAATTGAACCTCTCCTCGGTAAGGCTTTCTTGTGAGACAAAGCCCAAGGCGTTAAACATGGCAGGACGGGATGAATTAACAATTCTACGTGAAAATGATTAAGACAAAATAAAATATATAATTGGATTACATTGCAGAGTGCCTATAATTTTATTACATATATGCAATACGTCTGTTATGAGATACAACAGGTGCGAGAATGATTTTAAAGATGTACATTCCATCAAAGTATTTAATACTAATTCAAACTAACTTAAAAATCCTTCACGTTAATCCGTATTAATTACATTAACCCCCCTCCACATTAATACGTACGTTTTTAAAAAAAAATTTGTGTTGTCTTTGATTCTGTTGGTGTTTAATTTATCTACATTTTTTACATTTAAGTTTGCATCTTTGAAACTTGACCACCATTTCATTATATTTGTGAATGGATTTCTGCAGTGATATTGTTGGGACTCAGTTTTTATCACTGCAATACAATCGTTTCCCCCTTATGATGCTACCACGAAACATTGAAATACCATCTTCTTCTCCCTGAGATAAATAACCCAAATACCCTGAAATACCATCTTTCACCCCTTTATAATGCTACCACGAAACATTGAAATACCATCTTCTTCTCCTTGAGATAAATAACCCAAATACCCTGATATACCATCTTTCACCTCTTCATAATGCTACCACGAAACCTTGAAATAATAATAATAATAATTAGTGGTCTTATATAGCGCGGTACCCAAGCCTAGGTGTGGGCTCACCGCGCTGTACATAAAACTATTATCAAAAGGGACATAATCATGACATTAAAATAAAATTAATTTATGAAATAAAGAATAGCATGTAATAAAACAAAAACAAAAACAAATGTATATTCACCCACCCCACCCCAGAACTTTTACATGGCAAACCATGTACAGCAGCCAGCAGGATCATTTATCGTTCAGAGGAGGGGAATCAGTCAGGGTAGTATAGTTTAAAGAGATGTGTTTTGAGTGCAGTTTTGAAGGCCTGGATGGGTGGTATATTGCGGATGTGTAGTGGCAAAGAAGTCCATTGTTTGGGGGCGCAGAAAGAAAAAAGATCGTTCACAATATGTTTTAGTGTGTTTCTTGGGAACGGACAGAATACGCGTGTCTGCGGAGGAGCGAAGCTGTCGAGGGGTTGAATAGACAGAAAGAAGTTCGGTTAGATAGGAAGGGCAGGAATCCGAGAAAAAGTTGTGACAGAGAACAGACAACTTGTAATCAATGCATGCCTGTATAGTGGAGTATTGGACTGACGTGGTCACTTTTTTGCCTTAGAACTAGCCTTGAAATGACACCACACACCCCTGAAATACCATATCTCACCCCTTGAAATGCCACTACACAACCCTGAAATACCATATCTCACCCCTTGAAATGCCACCACACAACCCTGAAATACCATATCTCACCCCTTGAAATGCCCCTACACAACCCTGAAATACCATATCTCACCCCTTGAAATGCCACTACACAACCCTGAAATACCATATCTCACCCCTTGAAATGCCACTACACAACCCTGAAATACCATATCTCACCCCTTGAAATGCCACTACACAACCCTGAAATACCATATCTCACCCCTTGAAATGCCTACACAACCCTGAAATACCATATCTCACCCCTTGAAATGCCACTACACAACCCTGAAATACCATATCTCACCCCTTGAAATGCCACTACACAACCCTGAAATACCATATCTCACCCCTTGAAATGCCACTACACACCCCTGAAATACCATATCTCACCCCTTGAAATGCCACTACACACCCCTGAAATACCATATCTCACCCCTTGAAATGCCACTACACAACCCTGAAATACCATATCTCACCCCTTGAAATGCCACTACACAACCCTGAAATACCATATCTCACCCCTTGAAATGCCACTACACACCCCTGAAATACCATATCTCACCCCTTGAAATGCCACTACACACCCCTGAAATACCATATCTCACCCCTTGAAATGCCACTACACAACCCTGAAATACCATATCTCACCCCTTGAAATGCCACTACACAACCCTGAAATACCATATCTCACCCCTTGAAATACCACCACACAACCCTGAAATTAATGTATCGCACATTACCACGTGTAACAAAACTGATGATATATTTCCCCCTTCTTAAAAATAAAATTAATAAATATAATTGATTGCTTTTTAAATTGTTAATAAAACACTCACAAATGTAATTTAAAAAAAAAAAAACTTTTAATAAGTTTTTACTTTTTTATTTCCAAAAATATACTTTTATTAAATAGAGAAGTAATGTGAACAACTTAATCTTTAAATATACTTCTAATAAGCAAATGCCGTTTCAGTCAATCAGCGCAGCGAAACTCATAGCCAAATAGCCTTCACTAATCCACTTATAACTTATCCAAATAAGAACAAACCATATGATGTGCAAAATATGTTAGTTTTTGGACGGGTCTACAACCCTGTGGACGATTTTATTAATTTTATGTAAATCTGGGTGTGGGGGGTATGGTCATTTCACCAGAGGCAGCACAAGAAACGTCTCAAAATAAAGGAATGCGTCTTATACATCATTAACCTTCTTGGGTACATAATTATCGGAGGTAGGAAATAGGAAGTGTAAATATTTACGTGGATGAGAATAGATTTAAATCCTATGGTGTTACGTTTGTGAAAAAAACAGATGTTACAATCCCTTTTTACAAATAAAGATATGCTTACCAATTAAGAAGATCAATGGTGTTAACAAAATGTGGGTACATTTACATCAATATACCCATGAATATCAAAACCCAATTATTTTACAAGCTTGAAAATTTAATTTTGAAAAATGGAGATGAGTTGATATTTCCTTTTTTAAAAAAATGAAAATTTATTTTTGTTTTTTAATTTGCGAAAATTAAAGTGGGTGTGTTTTTATATGAGGTTAACAATTTAAAAAAAAAAACAACAAACACTTAAGATTGTTATTGACGTAAAAAACGGCTCAGAAATTCTTCTTTAGATTAAAAAAAAAAAATCTTTTTTGATCAATTTTTTGATAGAGTAGCGTCAAAAAAAAAAAAAAAAAAACAAAAATATGTTTTAATTTTTTAAAGTGGGTGTGTTTTTATATGAGGTTAAAAATTTAAAAAAAAAACAACAAACACTTAAGATTGTTATTGACGTAAAAAACGGCTCAGAAATTCTTCTTTAGATTAAAAAAAAAAATCTTTTTTGATCAATTTTCTGATAGCGTAGCGTCAAAAAAAAAAAAAAACAGGCAAAAGTTTGTTTTAATTTTTGATGAAGATGTTACTATACCAAATTCCTTTAATTTAAGATATATATTTATATCATTTACAGAGTTTACGTTGTAAATTTAATTATTGTGTTTTTAAACAATTTTTTAGAGAAAAAAAGTTGAAATCCAAGGGTACGAAAAAGTGGAAAATCTTAAGTATTTCTCTAGCTTAGAAATCGTCCCTCAATTAATTTCTTTAGTCACAAAAATGGATATAATTAGTGATAATTTAGATTGGGTCATTTAAGGTCATGCTTAGAGGGGGAAAATGTAGTTTAGAGGAGTGAAAGGGAGTAGGTTATGCGTATAATAAATAGCAAATAAATACTTCTCAAAACTGAGTGATGTTAGAAACGTAAATATCATTACATAGACTCTTATTATTTTTAAAGTTAGGAATTATGATGGTTTTTTGCAATGACAGGTAGAAATAATCACAAAGGACCTACCATTATTATCCGGAGCACATCGGGTCATTTATTCTAGTATTACAATATTTTTTTCTTCTTTTTTTTTTTTTTAAACTTAATATTACAAATACAGGAATTTTTCGTGTGGTGAACATTTTTAGCTGTAGTTGTGCCTAGATAAGACAGATAGCAGGCTTGAAGAAGAGTTAACTAATCACAGTGACCATGGCAACAGTTTGTTGTTTGTATTTTGGTATCCTAACATTTCTGTTCTGTTTTCATCAGGCTCTACGTAAGTAAATTATTTATATTGTAAATGTTACCAGGAGTTATGTCGAGAAGATACAAATATAGAGAAAGAACAGGATATAAAGAGGGAGAAAGAGAGAGAGAGAGAGAGAATGTGTGACGAAGAGAGAAATAGAGAGACAGAGGGTGGGGAAGAGAGAATTAGGGAGATTGAGATCGAGAGAAAGAGAGAGAGAGAGAAATGGAGAGAGAGAGAGAGAGAGAGAGAGAGAGAGAGAGAGAGAATGAAAGAATGAGAGATAGAGAAAGAGAGAGAGAAAGAAAAAGAGAGAGAAAGACACAAACTGGGCAGATAGAGAGAAAAAGAGATAGAGAGTGCAAGAGCGAGAAAAAGAGAAAGAGTGGGATAGAGCAGTGGTTCTCAACCTTCCTAATGTCGCGATCTTTTATTACAGTTCCTCGTGTTGTGGCGAACACCAACCAAATTATTATTTTCGTTGCTACTTCATAAGTGTAGAGTATAAGTGTTTTCCGACGGTCTTAGGTGACCCCTAGGAAAGGGTCGTTCGACCCCCCCAAAGGGGTTGCGACCCACAGTTTGAGAACCACTGTATTACAGGGATAGGTAGAACTATGTCTTCACTTGTACATGCACAACAATTGCACTACGACAAACGCATTACTTGGCTGTGGGCCTGGAAGAGAGGTGGCTGCTCTCAAGTACCAGAACATTGCTGTACATACATCATTTTACTAAATCCAAAATATGAAGGAATTCTTTACGCCCAACTATTTTTTAAAAAATAGTATCATTATGTGCATATTTATGTGTTCATTAAAAATGTCCATTCAATAAATTAATTTTTCTTTTGTAAAAGGTGAATTCGGACGGGGTCGGGGGCTATTACACAGCTCCTTGGAGAGTGCTCATCAGATTGAGATCCGCTGTATTAGAGCCTGCAAAACATTTGATAAATCCAAGTGAAACGGGCGTGATTTTTTGCTTGTTTGTGTGTGTGTGTCTGTGTGTGTGTGTTTTAAACATGCATGTTTCCGTTGCGATAATTAGACCCATGGGAAGTGGGGAAGTCAATTAAAAAAAAAATAATTTTCCACAACACATAAATGAGGGGGGGGGGGGGGGGGGGGGGGGTTGAGAATGGCCAGAGACGATATGCATGAGTTGAGCGGAAGTTCAGCCTTCCAGACCGACAACACCAGCTCTGCGCTGAAAGGGAAGAATCCCAACGTTGAATAAGGAAGATTTTTGTGTGCGTTCGAATGTGCGTGTGTGTGTGTGTTGGTCTGGCAACCTTGGCCTTGCCGTCTCGTGGCTGTTT